GTCACCTTGCTGGCATTGCTATGGAGACACAAAGATACTGGACATAAAAATCCTTCCAGATAGGATAAATCAGAATATCCTTAAATAGAAAAAAAACAATAAATTCACTCATTCTCAAAAGACTTCGGGGCCTTTCTATAAACACTAGTCAAAACTTTTGCACTGACTAATATATCAAACCACTTTGTCATGTTTAAATAGGTCTGCACAGTATCTGATATTCTTGTAGCAGGCCAGCAACAACAAATGGCAGGTCACAGACCATTCTAATCACATTTCATATTTTTAAATGTTCCCATAACTGCAAGTCAATATAATGTCATATAAACTAAATTGGTTTAATAAGATAATTTAATTCAATAGGAGTACTTTAAAAAAAGAAAACCAGGCAAAAAGTCCAGGCCCATAAGCACATTAGCCTAGCAAATCCTTCTATGATGTAAGTTTCCACTCAATATCTTATGACGTGACCACAAAAAAGGAAAGCAGCAGTAAGTATCAAACTCAAAAACTCTTTCATAGCATCCTTCATTAACGTTGTTTACTTTAGGGTCATGGAAATAAGTTGGCTCTCAGGGAAAAAGCAGTGACAGCTTTTACAAAGCACATAATTCTTGCATGTCCTAACAGGGCGGGTGTATGCCTGAATTTATTCTTCTTCACTTGTAGTTGCTATACACAAATCACTGCACTCCAAGACGTATGCGCTAAGTCCTTGGATAGCTATAAATGTTACGCCACAGAGCAGGTGGAAGGAACTGGGAATGTGACAAGGCTTGCAGATTTTTCTCCTGTAATCTAACCAGAATTAGCATGTCAGGACAACCGAATTCTGAGCAGATGGCTTCCACATTCATTTCAGCTAGGTGGAGCTGCAAATGATTGCCTTTCATCTACCTAGACATGAAACGTTACTTTAGGGCTGTCTGATCGCTGGTTTTTCCAAAGACATCAAATGTATTAAACATCTCAAGTCTCACACAGTTTGAAAAAGTTAATCATCCAACTCACTTGTGCTTCCTTGCACAATGAATTTTGGCTCAATACTATGTCAAAAGACCCTGATATCTGAGAGCTAGTTTTCCTATGCAAGCTAAATCCACTGTGCTGTACCATCATCCTCCCTTCAAAATCAAGGGGAACCATGGAAATGAAGAGACTGCACTTCTCAAACAGTAAGTTGCTCCTTAGCGCCCAGAGAAATGCAAAGTTCATTTTACAGTTAACTTACTGGATTTCTGATTATTTCACCTGAAAAAGGAGCACCTAAAAATAAAAATTGTTTAAAGCAGTAGATAAATTCCTTTCCCAGAATCATTCTTCATAGTGAAAGCTATGTAATCACTTAATATCTTTTCAGTAATAAAAATACTACAGAAGCAGATGTTATGCATAATACTTTTAAAGTTTAATTGAAACTGAAAGAAAACTAGTAACAAAACCAAAAAAACATAACTGCTTTCAATTGAAGCAGCAAACAGTTTGTCCAGGGCTAAATTTTCTCTAAAACAACAAAATCTGCTTTCATTTACATCTTTGCAACTTCACTGAAGTTCACTGAGGCTGAAGGTAAGAGTCAACTACAGAATATAATTTGGAGGTCATGTGCAAAGGATCTGCACTCCACCTTTCACATCAGTATGTTTTTAAACTCATAATTACAGTAACACTTTCTCCTTCATCAGCCTGACTTGGATATCCCCAAGAATAAGGCAATGAGATGGATGAGACCTGATCCCAAGTTCTGATAGAGTAATCAGACTTTAAAAGAAGATACCTTATGGGACAACTTCAATTGTACCGGGGATTTTCTAGTTTCCCTTAGGAAAGGTTTGAGTCTTAGAGGTGCTCAGTATTGCCACTAATGCTTATCATTTGAGTCTCAATGTTTTCATAAGATGTCAGCATTTTCTTATTATACCTATAGAGCAATACTTGCATTATGCTTAGCGTGAGGCATTGAAAACAGTATTATATGTAGAATCATGTCTGGTATGTATTCGTTAGGTAAACAGATGGATGGCATTAATTTAGTGACCAAAATGAGAAGCTATACCAAAACAAAGATGTACTGGGTACATGAAATGCCTCGGTGGATTGACATATGAAGGGAAACTTCATGACCTCTCAAAATTAGAATCTCAGACTACAAGAGTGAAGATAGGAGAAGTGATCAAAATTCTCTAGTTGCTAGGCATTTTATGGAAAGAGGCCACATTCACTCATCTTATTAAAATTCATGGAAATTGAAAATATCCAAAAGCTCAGGAGGGGTGGGGTCAGAAAATGTATTTCACGGAACTGGGAAGCTTACGCTAAATTCACCTTGAAAGCATTTTCCCCATCATATACTTCCTGAGAGCCTTTTGATTTCTTTCCTACTTAGGAGATAATTATAGAACCTTTTTTCCCCCTCCCTGACCAATGCATAGAGAAGGGGTTCATTTCAGTAATTTATGCAGATTATCTTGGTTTGTTTTTAACTAGATCTTTGTTGGAAGTTATTTCTCCTTTGATCTCTCAAACTCATTTAGTAAGCTTTATTTTTATTTTCTTCCATTTCCCATATCTCATCCCTTGGCTATGTCATTTGATTTTGTGCCTGCCTTAGAATTAAATATTGTTGAACTCTGACCTTCGATTTTCCTCTTTTCCTTTGCTTTCTCCTTCAATTTCAAATTTACTGTTGTCAGGAAACAATGACACTCAGGCATGGGGATGATGGAAGAGGGACATTAATCAAAAGCTATCTAGCACCTTCCTCTTGTGGATAAAACATCTAAAAGGTATAAATCCAAAGGGAAACACTAAACACTCCCTAAAAGGATTTCTAAGGGTACTGGAATCATCTGACATTTTTAAGATCACAGTCATTGCAGCCAGGAAGAATCTGGCTTTACAAGTTCCAATTGACAGTGCTCGATACTTGGCTCTTGTGGTCTGATCTGGCCCTAACAGCTTTGGCTGTTTTTAATTTCTTGGACAAGTGACACTAATAGGAAGCTGTGATGGGAAATTCTGCACCACCCCGTTTCCACATGAAGGAAGTCTGTCTCCTTGTAACACCACTGCCCCATGCTCAGGCACCTCCCCTGCCTTGGGAATGTATTAAACTTAAGGTTTATTAATAGCTAATAAGCACAGTAGTTTGAAGATTAAACCAAAGCTCAGACATCATTTAAAAACAGAAACAATGTGGTTTCAGGCAAACTAGAAGTCAAGACCCATAGGGTTTCTTTTTTTTTTGCTAGTAGCTCAGATTTATTCTTATTTAAAAAAAAAAAAAAAAAAAGCTGGGATAGGACAGCTTTTTTTTTTTTTTCCCAAAAACCCCACTGTTTTTCTCGTATTAGATAAAAATTTCAGGACATGAACAGTAGCAATCAGCTTGCTAAGTGAATCCCAAAGATTTAGCATTCCAAATAGAAGTAGCAGACTTCTGCATAAGCGATCACTCATTTTTCAAGTGATAGCGATGGTCAATAACAGACCAACAGTATTCTTCCTGAATTCACCAATCATACATAACGTCTAATAAAGAGAAAAATGAAATGTTCTTTCATGAAGAAGTTTTCAGTATTTAGAGACAATATAAGAAAAAGACTTTCTGCAAAGCCCTCAGAAAGGTGGGCCACTTTGGAAATAAAGTCACGGCTGTGACTAAATCAACTAAAACACACCGCCAAAAGATTTTCACATTAAAATGATATGAAATCTGTTCTTGAGAACAGATTTTTCCTCAGCCTACCTGCCTTGCTTTATATATCATTCACTTAGCCAGCTGCATAGCCCTCTCCCATTCCCCTGAGACAAATTCTATTACTTCAATAGTATTTTTTGAAGGAGCTTTTCTACTTCTTTTTATTTTTATATATATAAGTGGGTTTAAGAAGAAAAACTTTTTATATTTATAAAGCTTAAGTGTGAGCTCCCCCCCCCACCCCGATGGACAACATTCACACCACCAGGTCCTAAGGAAACTAAAGCAGCACCCAATTTTTTTCTCTTCACTCCTGTCTGTCCCCCTGGCTTTAATTTCTCCCTCTTTCAAAATCCTGTCTGGCACATGGAAGAGGCTTTTTCAATAAATCAATACTCTAATAAAAATGACTGCCTCTATGTACTCCACACATTAAGCAAGTTTCTCTTATACAGATAAAAACATTCACCTTCTGCTCTACATTTTACAGTCGTTTTCAGTAACAGACCTTAATAAAAGGAGCACCTGGCAAAAATGCGAATCCAAAACAGCACAGTGTTAAATCTTGTCTGCTTTGACAATATTTTTCTGATGAGGCATAATAGCTAATCCACTTAATTTGGTTTCAGAAAGAATTATAGCATGTTATTGTTTTCAAAGTATACTTTTGAAAAAAAGTAACCATCTGAAAGAACTGTTAGTAGAATAGGTATGTTAAGTAATAGCTATCACTTTCTGTCAGCAAAATGGAAGGATGCTGTTTTCAGCAAGAATAAAATTAGCATCTTATCTATGTAAAATGTAAACCATAACTGAAATACAAGATTTTTCCTAAAATTATTATAGCATAAACATCCCTGTAGCACCTATATGGAAAACAACGCATACATGAATAAACTGCTCCCCACCATATGTACACACAAAGAACAAATTGCCTTCTAAAATGTTATGCTTAAAAGCAGAATTTTCAAAACTACTTTTATGTCTCGCATTTACTCCATGAAATCGTGAAAAGAATAGTCAGGGAAATGAAAGCCAAAGCATAAGAGACTCATTGAGGAATATCACCAACAACAGAATGTCTACATGTTCTGACAGTTACTATCACACCAAATGGGCTTTGCTAATCCAGGGATAGGCCTCCGGACAGCAGCTGCAACTTGAACCACTGTTTTGAGCTAAGCTCTGTTCTGTCCTCGCAGAAACCACACTGAACAGTTGTATGAGGCGTAGAGCTCCTAAAACCACAATCAATTAACACTGCTACAGCACATGCTTCCATTTTACACCAGTGACTTACCCAGATATTTCCATCTTGGTGGTACGGTTTCCAGTTTCTCCCTGTATCGCTATAGAGCATCCGATACTGAGTGACCCAGTCAGAACTGCTATACCTGCCTTGAGTCGCAATAGCACTGATCTGCTTCCTATTCCCAAAATCCACCTGCAGCCATTGGTAATGATCGCTGTCTGATGGAGACCAACCTCCTGCACCTGTTGGGTTGAAATGGGAGACAGAGATTTAGACCTCAAACACTTGCTTTGAAGTGAACACATTGTGAAGATGCTGATTGCTGGAAGGCAGCCCAGCTGAGAAGTGTAATACCAAAAAAACTTGAACACATACAAGAGAAACATGATTGCACATTTGTTTAAAAATGCATCTTTAGCACGGGCTTCAAATGCATTAACTCTGTTGCCTTAATCATTTTATGATATAATTATAATAATTCAATAGGCTGACTACTAATGAATCAATGCCTTTATAATGCCTTGATTACAGTTTATTTGTTTTTGCCAAATTGTAATTGTTCAAGGGTTGACCAATTTGCCATGAAATCCTTTGTCAGAGTAAGTTGGCACATATCAATAACAATCTTTGGATTTCATATGCCTTTTCAATAGCATTTCATGTTAAAGAGATAAGATAAATAAAATGGGAGGAAATAAGAACAAGCTCTCTGCCTTCCTATGTTTCACCGTAGTTCACAAACTGAAAGATCTACCAGAAGTGAAAAATCAGCAGGTACTGCAGGCTTGGATCCACTTTTGATCTGCTGCGTGTACAAGCTGTCACAGATTACATTGGCAGATGCCTCATAGAAGTGTGATTGCTCTCTGTGGGTCGATGAATTAACTTGACAGTAATACCATTAACAATATTTTTCTCAGACACTAGACTACACTGAACTGTTCTAGATAAAGAAGGCCAGTGATGCATAAATAAATGTACTATTAAGACATTAATGTAATTTCTTATTCTTCTGAAATAAAAAATATCAAGGGTAAAATTGTAGTTGGATACTGCAGAGAATGATAAAAATTCTAAGACAGATATTATAATATTTACCATAATGATAAGTATTAGGAAATACATGAAACATCAAAAAACTATCTATCAATACAGAGAAAAAGTGGAGAATCATTCTCTTTATATTCATAGCAGACATTAAGATGCAGAAAGCAAAAACTTTAGACTTAAAGTGATTACAGAAGGGTTTTTTTTTTCTTTCCTTTTAAGTTTGAACCAAATAAATGGCCTGGCACACCATGAAATCATGTAGTCTAGTCCACGGGCCAATTTTTGTTGCTTTTAATTTCACTTATAGACTTCAGTTGAGTCAGAAACCTATCCTGCCTGCCAAGCAAGAAACTCTTTGCTATACTAGGTCTTATATACTCCCATCATTAGGCGGCAGCATTGCCTCAGTCTTAGACAATTCTCAAATTCATACAGCTGCTACAGGTGTTAACATTTGCAGGTCATAGGACATTTTAATGTTGTGATACCAGTGGGATCATTTGATGTCATAAGTAGTTGCCTTTCATTGTAATTAAAAGTATAGCAGTACGCCCATGACATCTGAGTTGTTGAAATTTTTAAGACTTACAATAGGTTTTGTCCCTGCACTACAGGTAATAGAACACAGTTTAGGGATATGGAATAGATAAAAGCTATTTTAAAAAACAAAAACAAAACAAAAAACAACAACAACAAAAAAACAAACCACAAAAAAACAAACCATCCTTATTAAAAGCACTTGAAGGGAAAAGTATTCTCACACATTCCCAAATTCAAACAAGCTCTATTTTTGCAAAGAATGGCAACTGGTCATTTAAAAATATAATATAGCTTCTTCATGACTACTGTGGAAAAGGATTGGAATAGTTAGCTCTACATACTCATAATAGCAGAGATGCTGCTTTCTCTCCCTATCCTAACATCCTCACCCAGCTGGCATATCTGAGACTGATGGCACACAAAGAATAAGAAGCTGCCCCTGTACAGAAGCAACCTTTGTGAAAGGACCCTTTGGTGGCTCCAGAAAACATAATGTTCAAATATGAGCATGCAAAAATTATTATGAAAGACAGAGCTGATAAATCCATCAATAAAATGTCCTTTACCAACGCAACCATTGAAAAAGGATGAGATACTATAACTGTAAGAAGGCTAAAACAGAAGGTTTTTACACTTTTTACTTATGCAGGAGATTTTGTTATGCAGGGCATCTACATTAAAACAGGAGATTTTGTTATGTACATTGAAAAGACGAGACTTTTAACTATAACACGATGTAATTTTTTCCTTCAGTACATTCATATCACTGAGATGAGACTTTGGCCTTCTTTAGCTGATAAACATAATAATTGTAAATTGCAACTAGATTCCAGAAAGTCTTCACCTACACATCGTTGAAAAGTTTGGAAAGACTGAGTGCTAACAATCATTTTTCTTTTTTTTTTTTTATGTAAGAAGAGGCAGAAAACATTCTTCACATCGTGCCTAACAAAAGTTAGAGATATGTGACACAATAGTCACGCCTAGGCCAGGAGATGGAAATATGAGTATTGCAAGACAGTCAGCCCTATAACCATCTCTAATAAGTGAGAGACAAGAATTTTAGTCAATACTGCAGACAGCAGCAAACAATTTTATCCTGTTTCTTGACCTAATTCTCTATCTCAGTTTCACATTTGCCTTCTGGCTTTTCCAAGCAAGTAAATAAATAAATAAAGGGATGAAGGAGAAACACATTGGATTATAGCTAAATGTGCTGCTTAGCAGACCAGCATGGGAAGCAAATGGTGATTAGTATGTGCGGCAGGGCAGGCGTCAGCCATTTACCAGAAGCAGCCTGTGGGGATCAATTAAAAGTTTCCTCTTCTTTGATTCATCAAGCTGTGTAATTTGGGGGAGCTGATTACTTTGTTCGTGATATGTGTAACCTCTGTTGATTCAAGGATTCATAATTTTTTTTTTTTTTTTTTTTTTAGGTGTATGCTCTAATTAAGTTATGAAAGAGTCAGATTATATAAAAATTTTCCCCCTGTGAGATCCTTACAAAGGCTCTTAATTCATTGGAGGAATTTAAGTATGTTTGTGTCTCCATTCACTCTAAGCAGGTGCGAAAATCTCACTTCCCCCAAAATGTGCATGTGCTCACAGCTCAGCATATCATTAAATATTTTGCTGAATGAAGAAGTTGGTTTGATGTTGGACAGGAAACAGAGGAGTTACTGACAAATGAAATATTTAACATATCTTCCCTTTTTAAAAGGAGTGACAAATTTGGAAATCAAACCAAATTTCCTAAATATGGCATTATTTTTGAAAGACACTTATTTTTAGGACTAATATATTACTACAGAATAATGAATTATCTTTAAGGAATGAGCAAAATGACATCATGTTAGTAGTTTCACTGAGCATTTCTTTGTACTGAAACCGCAATGGTGTATTAGATTTGTTGAATAAATCCTCTTCACAGTATTATTCTTCACATCCTGGTGTAAACTTTTTATTTTTAATGGTTACATGGCTATATTCTGGATTTTATGACATGCATTATTTGCACTTTTTATTATGGCAGAAATAAGGCATTGGATATATGGGGGTTTTATATGATACTCTGTTGTATTTCATGTACTGCCTTTTAATGCCAAATGCCACAATACACCAACGTCAGCTACAAAATGTTAGGAAGATATTAGAACTACAAAGTACTTAAAAGATATTAAACATATACATATAATATAGTTTACTATCATTTAACAGGTAAGGGGCATCTATGGGGTTCTTTGGTAGCAGAGGTCCAATAAATACAACTGCACAGTATCTGCTTTCTATTTTTATTTTTGTGATATTTCAGAATTTGTTGTGATTAAACATATTCAACCACTCAGCAGCCAAAATAATTGTCTGAGTGACATTAACCAAGAGATTCAGTGAATACTTTATGCTGTATAGCACTCTACACCACAAACAGGGCAACTAATTTCATCTTGAGCAAGAATGACTGTGTGTGACCCTTTGATAGTAGATAACAGAGAACTCTAAGTTCAGCAACACTAAAGTCAACATTGAGCGTGTTGCCCACATATCTTGTGCATCCACAGGAAAGAAACTTTCCTGTACAGAAAAGCCTGAGAGTCTTAATCAGTAGCAAAGCCAGGCAGAGCATTCCTGTGATAAAAGGTGGCTATGAAAGATTTCATAAAGCTTTACTTTCAAAACTACAGGAAGTCATTTGATCTGCTCCTACTGCAGACCAACCGAACAACGTGTAATATATCTACTACTGAAAAAGACACTCAATGATGCAGAAGACACATAAAGCTATATTCAGAATGTTAAGAACTGTAAAACTTTATTCTTTTGATGACTTTTCACCAAATGAAGACAATTGCTAAGAAATGGTATTAACATCATTACAAGAGCTGAAGTTTAAAGATTTTTTTTCTTTTAATTATTAAAACCCCCAATGGCTTTCATGGGTTTTTTTGGGGGTTTGTTTTGTTTTTTTTTTCTTAAATTTTATTCTACAGGTTCATTCCATGGAACTGAAAACAGTATGAAAAACACAGCATATCTCCAAATGACACATGCAAAAGATAGCACTTAATATAATATATTCATAGGAGTATAAAGAACTCAAGTCAATATGAGTCTATTTTTGCAAAATTTCATGTATAATTTTTTCCTTTTAATTAATCATACATTTCAGCTTCCTACTCAAAGTTGAGTGAGCTAGCTCTCATTTACTACACACTAAGAAAGTGTCTGTGATGAGTTAGCCCTACCTTCTTATCATTCCCTCCTGATAAATTGTCAGTAAGTAGCAGTGCTGGGTTAGGTTTACAGATTTTTAGATTTTTATCTGAACTGTCATATGCTACTGAGCTTACAGAGGTATAAGAAGGGACACTGATGACTTTTGAACATCTCTGTTCCATTTCAGTTAGAAATCTTTTTTCTTTTGAAAATTTGTACTTTCATCTTCATTCATAGGGGAAACTGGAAAGATTAATTTGCACTAGAAGAATCCATTCTTGTTTTAGTCACACTTGTTCATCATTCCCTACTTCAAATCACAAAATAAAAGATAGCAGTACTGCAGTAAGTCTAGTTTTCTACTCTTTTCAAATCAGTAATAAAAGGTTTCAATGACATGAATGAAAGGAGGACGGGATCCTTAGTCAGAAATTTAATT